CGGCCTTGCTCCCGCCCGCCCTCGCGCTCCTGGCCGCCCTGGCCCGCCTGGCCGCCGCCCTGCAATCACGCCGCAGGCTTCGCGCCCTGACCCCCGAACCCGGGCCTCCCTCTCCTAGCGCTTCCGGTGCCCTTTGGAAAGGCGAGCGTCTGTTCGACACGGGGTGATGAAAGCATCTTAGATTTGCTTTTCCCGGACCTTGTGGCGACCTTCACCTATGTTCGCCGTGCTGTCCCGGCACCCTGTCCTCCTGCCTGCCTGCCCTTTCTTGTTCCAACTATTCCGGACACCCTGGCCCCAGCTCTTGGGGGAGAAAGACAAGGCTCGGCTCCCTTAAAGAGTTACGATCCAGGAAACTCACGGGTAGTTCGACCTTGATCTGTAGAATCGCTGAGTCAGCATCGACTCGAAGGCCGAGAGTTGGGTTTTGCGTTTTTGAACTCGCCTCTTAGAGGAGCCCTTTTCTGCTTACCTGTTGGGTTGCAAATGCAAGGTCAGCGTTTCAAAATCAAGATGTGCAGATCTCGGAAAGCCACAAGGGCATTTTACCCTGATCTAGAAGGCTCTCTATAAGCCAAAATTGACTTGGTGGCGTGGATTTGGTTTGATTTTTGGCTCATTTAGAACAGCTCACACGCTCAACTCCGTCTCCCACAGCTTCCCCCGTAGGCACTTGAAGTTGGCATCAGGTGGAGAACATCCGCATTGTTTTTGGTAATTCAACTCACCGACCCGTTGTTTTCCGAGTAACCACGGTACTTCCACATGGGGTTATTTGAAGGTGGAGATAATTCAGACCAAGTGCTTGTCTTGTGTCCGGCAAAATACTTCTGAGCAGCACAGTATGCCGCCCTGTGCTGAGGTTGGTTGGTTTTAATGTTGAAAGAGGTATATAAAAATTCCTCCCAAATAGGCCCTAAGTTATATATCATTGAGCTTATTCTTCAAAGGCAGTCATGTAATGGAGAAGGAATTTCCCCATAATTTCAAGTCTAATAACCTGGTAGAGATTTAGATAATGCAGATCTCTAGTAGTGGGGTGGGGGGTGGGGAGCAAGAATTGGCAGTGGGGTGGGGGAGAATTCCTCCTTGCTCCCTCTAATATTTTCTCGAGATTGATGACTGATTTTTGTGGTGGTGGTTGCGTGAATTGTGAGTGCCATCATGGAGAAAGCAAGCTAGATTTATTTGTCCCTATTTCTCCTGCTGGAGCCCAGTGTATAGTGCAAGTGGGGGGTTTACTGGCAGATCGAACCCTCCACCCCCCAGCACCTCTGAAGAAGGCCTGTTGATGTGCTTCCGAAAAGTCACAGCCTTGCAACTCTTGTGGGTGCATTTCTACTCAGCCACCCAGACAGGGTCCCTATGAATTCCAATCTTCTTAACAGTAACCGGTATCCCACTTGCACCCTTGGGCCCTTGACTCTCCTCGCAGTGTTAGTTTGCTATCTCCATGCTCGGTGTGTCTTTGAGAAGTCGTACATATCTGTGTCACTAGTGTGTGAGGGGCGTGTGAATGTTCCTGTAAATGGAACCGGTCTCCCCTCTCGTTTATGGAACTTAGATTGTGCTCAGGAGCCACAGCGAGAGTTCATCGGGTTTTCCCACTACTGCACAACGTTCAACTGAATGGCTGAGTTCTGACTTTGAAGTTTAAAGTACAGATGAACAATAAGCAATTGAAAGTCAAATTCTAATGCAACTACCAAGTTCACAGACACAGTACTTGGTTGTTTTTAGGTGGTGATTTAGATTGCCAAGGGCTTTCATACATGTAATTTCTCTTGACTCCAGAAAGTCCTATGAAGTAGGCCAGGCACCTTGGTGGTGCCCTGGGGAAGCAAGCGTTGGATTCCCAACTGCAAGATCATCTGTTTAAAGCCACCTGCGGCGAGGGAGAAAGAAAGGCTATCTGCTGCCATAAAGACTTACAGTCCCGGAAATCCTGAGTTAGGAACCACTTGATGGCCTTGGAATAGTTGATGCAGGAGGCTGGTTGTGCAATTGTTGAGAGCCACCTGCAACTCAACAGGAAAAGACCTGTGGTCATTTCCAAGGAAAAGAGACCTGGTGACTGCTCCTGTAGGGACCACAGCCTAAGAAACCCTGTGGGGCAGTTCTAGTGTAGAAAGAGCAAACAGCTCAGACAGCATACAAGGAATTGCTGGGAATCATTGAGTCCATAGTGTGAAGAAGTGGATGTCTGTGGAAGAGGGCCCTTTAATGGGCTGACAGCCGCAGGCTACTCCATACAGCCTAGCCAAAGTGAGGGAGTATCAGCAATGAGAACTTCCTTCCCATTAGAAACCCAAGAATTTCCCTGAAGGCTTTGTTAATGAGTCTCCTTGGCAGGACTGAGTCAACACCTTAAGGGATCACAGCTGGAGAAAAGTGTTGTTTGTAGTGATGGCTTATCTGATGGTGGATTTAGAAGGATCATATTTATTTCCTAGTGGATGAAATCATATCCTTGGGAACAGCAAGAAAAACCTTTTTGCTGGTTCTTAGAATTTCCCCGGTGGGGTGGGTGTCTAGATAACTGGCCAATACCAACAGTTAACATCAAAGGCCAAACCAGGTGCATTTAGTTGATTCTGGCTCCTGGTGACCCCGTGTGTCACAAGAGTGGAACTGTGCTTCCTAGAGTTTTTAAAGCAGATTGCCAGGCCTTTCTTCCAAGGCACCCAGGGGGTTAGAACGGCCAGCTGTTTGGTTAGTGAGTAGTTGAATACCTGTTTGCGCCACCCAGGTTTTCCTAATCGTTAACAGTGAAGGGTTAAAGTTCTTCAGGTAAACTGGGTGTGCATAATGCTTTAAGGAACAAAGTATTTCCACAAACGCTCTCTCCTTGAATTCCCTCAGCAGCTTGGTGAAGTCACTGATGCCCCATTGCCCCCATCGAGTAAGGAAGTGACTTCCCTTGGTTGTCCAATGAGGACATGCTAGAACTTGAGGCTCAGATTAGTGTTTTCTGACTCCTGACTGGAGAAAAACCTTTCCCCTCTCCTTTCTCCTTCCTCTCCTAACCGTTGGCAAACCTGTTATTGCTCTAACTTCTCATCTTTGCTTGCTTGTACTTTTTAAAGTAACCATGAAAATGATCGTCCTGCTTCCAGGGCATCTTCAGTATCAGCCATTCTTCCTTGAAAAAACTGGCAGTTGTCTAGGAGAATCATGACATCTCATTTTTTTTTGAATGCTCGCTTATGTTATAAACAGTTTTAGTGGTACGTAATCCACATGTCACACAATTCAGTGGTTCAATCATATTAAGAAGAGCTATTGGTACATAATCCACATGTCACACAATTCAATAGTTCAATCATGTCAAGAAGCGCTATACAATGATCACCACAATCAATTTTGGAGCATTTCATTTTTTCTTATACTCATTATTATTAGCTCTCCATTTCCCCAGCCTTCCCTGCCATACCCTCACGCATCACTAATCCGGTTATTGTCTCTATATTGATTTACCCATTCTAAATTCCCTATACAGAAAAGCATACAGAAACAGAAGTCCACTCACAACAATATAAAGCTGAGAAACACCTCAATCAAGAAGAAAGTAGAAAATATTATAAACTAGAACAACTTTAAATGTGTCAAAAAGGAGATCCAAATCGGGTATACGGAATGGCAAATATCCAAAATATCTCCTTACATATTTTATTATCAGACATTAGATTAGCTATCAGCTGGAGCAATGAGTTAGGGATTGGGCTACTAACTATAAGATCTCAGTTCAAATCCACCAGTTACTTTTCATGAGAAAGATGAGGCTACTCCAATGCAGAGCCAGTCTTGGAAATTTGCAGTTTTATTCTGCCCTATAGGCTCATTCTGAGTCTAAATTACTCAATGGCAGTGGGCTAATTGGTTGGTTTTTTTTATGTCTTTTATCTATTTTAATCATAATCAGCCATTCAGTTGAACGTTGTGGAGACCGGTTCCATTTACAGGAACATTCACACGCCCCTCACACACTAGTGACACAGATATGTACGACTTCTCAAAGACACACCGAGCATGGAGATAGCAAACTAACACTGCGAGGAGAGTCAAGGGCCCAAGGGTGCAAGTGGGATACCGGTTACTGTTAAGAAGATTGGAATTCATAGGGACCCTGTCTGGGTGGCTGAGTAGAAATGCACCCACAAGAGTTGCAAGGCTGTGACTTTTTGGAAGCACATCAACAGGCCTTCTTCAGAGGTGCTGGGGGGTGGAGGGTTCGATCTGCCAGTAAACCCCCCACTTGCACTATACACTGGGCTCCAGCAGGAGAAATAGGGACAAATAAATCTAGCTTGCTTTCTCCATGATGGCACTCACAATTCACGCAACCACCACCACAAAAATCAGTCATCAATCTCGAGAAAATATTAGAGGGAGCAAGGAGGAATTCTCCCCCACCCCACTGCCAATTCTTGCTCCCCACCCCCCACCCCACTACTAGAGATCTGCATTATCTAAATCTCTACCAGGTTATTAGACTTGAAATTATGGGGAAATTCCTTCTCCATTACACGACTGCCTTTGAAGAATAAGCTCAATGATATATAACTTAGGGCCTATTTGGAATTTTTACATACCTCTTTCAACATTAAAACCAACCAACCTCAGCACAGGGCGGCATACTGTGCTGCTCAGAAGTATTTTGCCGGACACAAGACAAGCACTTGGTCTGTATTATCTCCACCTTCAAATAACCCCATGTGGAAGTACCGTGGTTCAAACCTACCAGCTGGAGTGCTCTGCAGAGAAAGATGTTGCTATCAGCCCCCAGAAGTATTGACCCCATTGGGAATCCTACACATGGTTGCTATGAGTCAGAGTCAACTCGTTGGCAGTGAGGTTTTTTTTTTCTGTTTTGGTGGTTGTAGAAGCTGTATATCTGCACACATCTAAAAGCCAAACACACGCATGCTATTTCTATGGCCCCTCAGAGTCTTAAAACAATTCATTTCCGTTGTTTTTGGAAATGACTGGAAATACTAAAGGGCTGCTTTCTCTTCCAGCTCAGAAGATAGAGTAACGATCCACTTTGTAAACCGTGATGGTGAAATTTTAACGACCAGAGGGAAAGTTGGTGACTCGCTGCTGGATGTTGTGGTTGAAAACAATCTAGATATTGATGGTTTTGGTGAGTACAGCGCATTCCTTAAAACTTTCCATTTGATACTTACCTGGCAGGGGAGATACCATAATCACGAAGGTGGTTTTCCCAGGGCGAGGGTTATCCATTGCACTCCGGATGTGCTGACCCCTGTGATTTCCCCAAATGTGGAAAACTCGACTGCTAAAGAAAATAAAAAAGAAAAGAAAAAAACACAACAACTTTCCATTTGAAATTACTGAGTGGGTATCAACTTTTTTGAGGGGGTGGAGGTTAGGGGGAGGGAAGGATTTTAATGTATAACATGCTAATTAAGTAAAATATTGAAATTCAGTATATTTTAGTGTTAAATTCTCTTTTGTAAAGAATCACGGAGTAACACTGTGTGCCTGTTCTTCAGACTTTTTTGCAGCTCAGTGGCCAGACTCTCCTGTCCCTTCATTGTCTTACTGTTGTGGGTGAAGCAAAGCTCTGGTTAGGGGGTGGGGCTGAAAGGTAGTACAGATTAGAAGTAATCATTGCCTACCACAGCAGGTAATGACATAGTTTTACTTCATTTCGAAGATCAGCTTACCTTCCTAAGATTTTTCTTAAGTAATTTATTTATTTCTTCATAGAAAAGGAGATCTTTTATTTTGAAAAAGTCTTTGTAGACTTTTCTCCCATCATGTCCATTCATCACACACGCAGTTCTAGCAAGTGCCATTTTCCCATTCCTCTGGCCTCCCTTCAATATCACCTTTGCTCAAGCACGGTCTCTTTCTAGGTCAGTGGGTCCCCTGGCCAGCAGCTGTCCTGGGGACTGCAGATGCTCAGACCTCACTGTCTCAACCAAAACCAAACTCAGCACCATTGAGTGATTCCTGTAGAACCGCCCCTGTGGGTTTCCAAGACAAACTTTACAGGAGTAGGAAGCCTCATCTCTCTCCCGTGGAGCAGCTGGTGGTTTCAAACTGCTGATGTGGAGGTTAACAGCCCAACGTGTAGCTACTACTCCACCAGGGTCCCTTGGACCTCACCCTAGTTCTGCTGATTCAGGAACCGGGGTTGGACCAGGCAGTGTGTGTTTTAGCAAGCCCTCAGTGTGGTTTTGGTCTGTGCTAGTGATTTTGGAAACCCGTGCTGTAGAATAATGCCTCAGACATATTTGGCGATGCTTCTTTCAAGCACAGTTTGTACCACACGTTTAAGAACCATTTCCAGCTCAGCTCGATTAAGTGTGCCCTCTGTATCAGTGCTCATTAGACTGTACCTGATGCAGAGCCTGTCCCTTCTTCCTACCTGGAAGCAACTTGCAAGATTGTAGCTACCCAAGTAGCTTCAGAGAGTTCACACTCTGCAGAGTTGGCCCGCAGTTAATATTTGCTGAATTCCTGTCTATATCTGATATTCTCTTTGCCGAGTTCAGAATCATGAGAACAACCACCATCCAAGTACATATTCCATCCCAGCATTGTGTATTCTATGTTAACATGCCTGAGAGCTAGACTGTTTCCCCCTATGAGGGGACTTCAAAAAATTTCTGGAAAGTGGAACTAAAAGATAATGGAACTTTTCCATGAGCTTTCTGAAGCTCCTTCAAATAACATAGTTTATATATGTACTGTATCATGGCACAGGAGCCTCAGCAACTTGTTGGTTACTCATAGGGCTACTAACCATAAGGTCAGTAGTTCAAAAACCACCAGCAGCTCTGCAGGAGAAAAGGGAGGCTTTCTACTGCTGTAAAGCATTACAGTCTTAGAAACCCACAGGGGCAGTTCTGTCCTGTCCTATCCGGTCTCTGTGAGTCAGAATCTACTCACTGGTAGTGAATCGTTATATAACTAGCAGTGCAGTTGCTTTATGATAAGGAGACATGAGATACATGTGTGGTGTGAGGGAAACTGCTGTGTTCTCTTTGTCCTGTTCTCCAATCTGGATCTCTAGATTTTTTAATCTTAGGGAGCCACTGATAAGTGGCATCAGATGTTGCCTAAACAGATGCTGTGTAGCAAGTGACTGTTCTCACCTGTGATTCAGAATGATTGTTCACCATTTAGTTCCATAGAGATGATTTTTTTTTAAGGAGCATCTTTTAAAAGAGCTGGTTTGTTTTTTGAGGCTTATTTGGAGGTTCTAGCAGGGGAGTGCAGCGACTCAGATACTCTTGACCGAAGGACAGCCCTCCTTCTATCGGGGAAGGTCATTCTTCACCCGAGCACACAGCTTCAGGAGGGATGCACATGGAGTGGTGAGGAGGAAGAGGACACCGCTTAGCCAGCCAGATCAGCCGAATCAACGGGGTGACAGCTGTCACAGCCAGATCACAGGAGGTTTCTTGTTTTTTGAGCCAGTCTGTTACTTAACTGAAACAATCTCTTGGAGCAGTTTCAGTTCAAAGTTTAAAGGGTAGCTCATACCTCAGGGTGATAGTGTCGGCCAGCCCAGTGAGTCTAGACTTTGTAGGGACATGGTTGTGGTTAAAAAAATTTTTTTTTTACAGTTTTCTTTCATCAGGGACTCTGTTGATTGTGTTCCTGATCAGTTCTTCTTGTCTCCAGGTAGATGAAGCTGTGGCTTGTGGAGGATTTTAGTTTTATAATTTCAGCTACAGGCCCAAATACAGTTATAACAAACATGGATTCTATAGCTATATCTATCTCATGGATTCCAACCCTGATTGATCAGACAAATAATCCATGGTGTTGGGGCTCGGAAGCATTTTAACCCAGTTGTTGACGCTGACACCAGTTGAAGCCTGAACAAATTGATGAGTTGTGACTCAGTGAGAAAGAGCGGGGTTTCTAATGCTAGGAGGTGATGGAAAGCTTAACATCCGCGCCTGCTCACATCTTCACTGAGGCCTGTGTAGGGCTTATTTGGCAAGGCCTTTCTGAAAATGCATAGCCCTGGCGGTGTAGTGGTTTTGTGTTGGGCTGCGATCTACATGGTGGGCAGTTTGAAACCACCAGCAGCTCTGTGGGAGAATGACTGTGGGAGAGTGACAGAAATCGTTATAGTCTCAGAAGCCCACAGAGCGGTAGCTAAGAGTCAGTATTGACTCAGTAACAGTTGAGTTTTTGTTTTGTTCTGGTTTCTGAAAATGTAATGTTATATAAGACTTAAAAACATGGTATTCTTTACTGTCTGTAAGCATGCTAAATTAAAAGACCCTCAGAAACCAAACATGTACTTTTAATATATCTCATGTTTTAAAAATGTCTAAAAAATATATATTGGGAAATATTGGACTTCCCAGTAGTTGTTTTGAAGTAAGGATAAATCTGTATAGAAAATGCCGTGTGGTATTGTGTCAGGCTGGGTTGCTTAGGAAAAACAAATCCAGTGACACTCATATACATGTGTAAGAAAGAGCTTGATATCAAGAAGTAATTGCACATCAGGAAAGCGCCCCAGCCCAGCCCGACTTAAGTCCATAATTGCGATCCTAGCCCATAAGTCCATTGTCAGTCCATACATCCCGCTTCAGACGCATGCAGCCACCGGCAACGAGCAGAATGCCCGAAGATCAAGGCCAGTGGGGACAGTCTCGTGGATCCAGTGATGATGAGCGCATCGCCAGGCTTGTGCATGTCTCAGTGTGATTCCACAACAGGAAGGTGAAGGCAAGGAGAGGAGGTTGTTCCCAGGACCCTCCTTATGAGAAGGTCATGCCCACCAGGAGGCACCATCAGGCTGATTGACATGCTAGACTCCACCCTACACTTTCCTCTTCAAGTTGATGTGAAATTATGTAACTACCACAGATATCTTTTGTGTTTGAGTCATACACATGTTGCTGTTAATCTTGTTTGGGTCTGTCACAATTTGTATGTGGGAGTGGGGGGAGGGGGCATTGTCACTGTGTCAGGGTAGCTAGAACAATGAGTATTGTTCATGGCCTGGGAGATCCATGAGGTGACTGTATGATGGACGTTTTTTTGCCTTCACGGATAAGCAAGCGCCAGGCATTTCAGCCTGGCTCATTTTTATAAACACACTTCTTTAAAAAGCGCGCGCGTGTGTGTGTGTGTGTGTGTGTGTGTGTGTGTGTGTAGGTGACAGGAGGACAGGCACGATACAATGGTGCATAGAATTATTTGATGGCAGTAGAGTTAAAAATGATGTAAGGGCTATATTAAACCACTATAAAGCAGAAGACCTGCATATGTTTTAAATTTTTTCTTAGGAAAGGGAAGATTAAAGACAATCAACAAGTCAAAGAACAAAAAGCAAAAATTAAAAAAAGGGGGGAGGGGGTGAGTGTGTGTGTCAAGGAATCTACCCAGAAAATGAACCGCTACTGCTGTGTTTTGCCCGATCCATCTCCCGATTTTGTCACCAGAACTGTATGCTGTCTGCTTCTCCCTCAGCCACACGAGCTTGCTTTTCACTCAGGCCCCTTCCTCTTCCACGGTTCCTTTCTGGGAAATGAGAGTGTGGAGCTCCTTTCCCTTCAGCCCAACACACAGCACGCTCACACGCACGCGTGCGTGCGCCTGCCCCCCCTGTTCATGCTCCCAGTATCAGTGTAATTTTTGTTAGAGCAAGGTGGTATTTGTCTTTTGTGCTATATAATTTTTCTATTTGCCTAATTTTCAATTTGCTTGTTACTACTAATTCAACCTCAATTTGTTTTTAATTATTATATTAGAATTTCAGCAGTGGAGTGAAATGAGGATAAAATGATTCCTGTTTTATTTTTCCATGTATGTGAAGTGAAGCAATGAGTAAATACATGTGTGTAAAAGAACAAATGTATATAGTTGAGGCAACACAAATTTTAAACCCTGTTTCTTTTGTGTGAACCAGTTATGTTCAAGGTTTCAAAGTGTATTGTAATATTCTGCCACTAGGGGGCAGTGACATCTCTGTCATTAAACTTGTCTGAGTCTAAGTTCATTCAGTGGAAATCAAGAGTGCTGAGAAAGTCCCCTACGCCCTTCTATATTGTCTATCCTGATAACCATATCCACCTGTGTGTACTCTTTCTATGTGCATTGGTTTCCTATTGATATACTTCGCACTCTAAGGAGCCCTGGTGA